CTGACAATGTGAAGGGGGTTGCTGAGCAGAAAGTTGCTTTCCTTTTCCTCAAGTGCGTTGTTTCTGGGAAGTGGTCGGGGCTTGTCAGTGTCCTCCTAGAACATGACACAACTTCCTGTAGTTACTGTCATGTTACTTAGGAAATGAATGATCCTGGTGCAAGTAGCACATACGTGAGTTACATAAAACCTATCACAGATTCCACCATCGAGACAGGGAACTCATAAACTCGGGGAAATCAATGCTTGGAAACCCTTCTGTTGAGCAAACATCCCTTCACCGCCTTGCAGGCCGTTGGGCTGATCTGCAAACAGCCTCTGGAGGCTGGTGCTGCCTGTGAGCAGCAGCAGAGAAACCCAGCACAGGAGGCGTGGAGCCCTTCCAGCCCCGCCAGCCGTGCAGTGGGTGGAGGGGACACTGCTGCAGGTCCCCTGCTCTCCCTTGCCCAGCCCAGGGCTGACGCAGGTTTTTCCTCATGGTTGGCACTGCTCTGGCTGCTTTTTTCCCTTTAGTCCATAAAAGGCCTGTGAAGTTACAATCTCCAGCTTTTAATTCCTCGTCATGGCTTGCTGTGTTTTCTTTCAGTAAATGTTTTCAAGTGATCTCATGAAATTATGGTCTTTGCTCATTTCAGCTGCTAGCTTTGGCTGCAGTGCTGCTGAGGGGGTTAGCTGAGGTCAGCAAGAGCCTCGTTCGAGTTTGCTGCTTGGCAAACTGGTGTAGCCCAAAGGGACCCAGTCTGAGGATGCTCCCAATGGGCTTTTCACATGGGGAAAAGGATGATTCACCAGGATAGGATGTGATCACAGAGCGAGGGCTTGATGGCCTGGTTCAGCTTTAAGTTTGATAGCCTTGCTATTGGTTTTGCTGGGTGGCATCTTGGATTTGAGTGATGACATGTTTGTTTTTGCTCAGGAACATCTCTGGTTTGCCTTGTTATTGTTGCTGTTGAATTTTTTTTTTTTCTCTGTGTTTCTTCACTGAGCTGTGTGTTGAAAGGTTGAGATTCATGCTGGGTTCTGGCTTATAATGCAAACTTCGATATACTTAATAAACATTAGGAGGTGGCACTTTGCAATTAAAAAGTCTCTGCTGAACGTCATCTCTCATCACCTGCAAAAACATTGGGGGGTTGTACTTAGAGGGACATTTAGGGCTGTCCAACCTGTGAGGCAGGAGTCAAACTCTGGCCTTCCCATGGATGCCAGGAACAGCCAAAACTTTGTAAGACATTTTCCAGCTGTTCCTGAATGGAACCGAAGGGATCAGGTGACAGATTAGCTGCATTTCCAAAAAAAACTTCCCCCTCTGCAGCCTGCATGTGTGCCTTGGGCACACAGCTTTACCTGTCCTGCTGCAGAAGAGCCTTTTATATGGTCAGAGACATGGGTATGGGCTCCAGCTACTTATTTCAGAGCTGAAGGCTGAGCTTGTAATTAAGTTCCTTAGAAATCCCAAGTTCTTTGTTTGCTTTACTAGAAGTGCCATCAGATAGCAGAGGTGACATGAGATGGTTGTCAGATGCTACCCTATTGCAGCAGAGAAATGTCAATGCTGCCTAAGGCAGAGAGAGGCAAAGAGGAGGATTCATGGATTTTGAGCTTCTGAGAGGTCATTATGGTTTTTTTTTCTGACATACTCAACAACAGAAACTAAAACTTCATCCCTGTCTTCGTCAGTGCAGTAATTTCTGGTGAAGTCAAATAGTGTTTGAGATGGGTAGTTATTCATGTTAGTGGAAACTGGCTTCAGAAATTTCATCTTTTAATTTTATCTACCTCTTAGAGTAGTGCAGGTAACTGTTCTGGTTCACCATCAGTACAGTCTTTGTTGGGCCATTTGCATGTCTGCTTTTCAGGCCAATTGCCAAAAAAAAACAGATAGGAGCTGCTTCCTAGAGAAAACAGCCACCTTCACCTGGCTGTGAGGGACCTGCCACCTCCCAGATTCCCCAGGAAATTTTATGTAAGGGAGGAGCAGAGTGGCCAGTCTCTTGTTTTCAGTCACAGCCCCCAGGTGCAGGGGTGTGTGTGGATCCACACTCGTAGGGTGCATGATTTCCATTCACTTTCAAGGTCTTGTTAGCCTGAGTTAGGCACTTGCAGTGTCTTGGGAACAAGCTTAGAGAAATCTGTTCATGATGCTGGTGGGTCACTCCAACCTCTGATACCCTTGTGCTTCAAAGCCCTGTTTTCAGACAGCAAGAGGGGCAGCAGCACTGAGCTGGTGCCCGACAGCTGTGGAAGGTTTGATCGGGTGTTCCAGAGGTCACCTCACACAGGTCAGAGGCAAGGATTAATTCAGAGGGGTTTTATGGCAGCCTGGCCATCGCTCTCAGCAGCCAGCCAGGGAGATGTGCTCCAGCAGTGGGTGAATTTGAAGCCTTCCTTCTCCTCCTGCCTCCTTTGGGGGACCTGGTGTGGGGCAGATGGTGCCTAGAGTCACCCAGCTGAGCTTTCTCAGTCTGTGGGTGCAATGCTCATATTGGAGCTGGCCGGTCAAACTTAAACAGTCATTTTGTTTTCAATGTTACGTTTTGTTTTTTCAGAGCTCCAAAGAGCCCACCTCAAGGGATGGCCCTTGCCTAATCCTCATTGTCCTAACAAAAAGTGTTCCAAGCAGCCAGGAATGTATTTATGTTGGCTTTTGCCTTGTTGCATTGGATGCCTTTGCTTGGTGCAATTTTGGCATCATTTGGAACAGAGCAAGCAAACAGGAATGTAAACACACTTCTATATCCCAGGGCTCTGAACTGGTCTTGGAATGAGTGGTCCAGTTTAGATTTTGGTCTTATGTGGTTGAGCATGAGTGGGAACCAAAGCAAAGAATGCTACAAGCCCTTTTCAGAGACTGTTTTCATTATTTTTTTTTTTCCTCTCCACATTTAGCCAGAAGCTTCCTGGTGCAGTGGATAAAGCAGTAGGTCAGGAGACATGAGACTTCTTCCCAGCTCTTCTCTGCTTTTTGTTTTGTCTTTTTGGACTGTTTTGGTCTATACCACTCCCAACACCAACAAGCTCTGATCTTGTTTGAGCTTTCTAGGTGTTCCAGCAATGCAAATAAGAGCTACTGAGGTACAGATATTCATCTGTGGGGACAGAGAAGCTAAGCAGGGAATTTCTAGAGAAAGACGGGGGCTGACAGGAGAATTCTGGCCTGTTTTGCAAGCCAAAGAAGTTTAGTTCAAGACTTGCAAAGGCTTGTCTTAACCAGGTCTCCAAGAGATCTTGGCTTGACCCATTTCTTGTTTGGAAACCAAGCTGTTGTCTGGGGATGGGTATCTCACAGAAATTTTGAGGCAGAGTCCTTGGAAACAAATTGTGTTTGGGTTCTGCTGGTAGAAAGGGAGAACAGGTTGAAAGGGTTGGGGAGACAGAGAAGTTGTGCTTGTCCTTGGGCCTGACCCTGGAAATGCTGCATGGCTGAGGAGTCCAGAGAGGCACGGGAAGGCCCCAGCTGCAGAGAGCCATGTTGGCCTTGTGCCTCTGCTGGTGACTGCTTTTACAAATATGGATGCACTCTGCAGCTCCTTCTGCTGACGTTTTGGGTGGAATGGTAGAAAACTGTTCTGCTGTGTGGAAGCCCATGGTGGCACAGGTCTTGGAAGAGCTCAGGAGGTCAGGCTGGAGCTGGGTGTTTTGTGCTAATGTCAGCAGAGTCTGGGGTCCTGCAAGGTCTCGGCTGCAGATGCCTCGTTCACTTTGGCTCTGAAGCTCCCTCAGGATGGGGAGACTTCTAAAATAACTCTGGCAGTCACCTTTATTCTACCGTTTTCTCTCTAGGTGGGGAATGACTAGACCTTTTATCCGCTCGTCCTAGGAGAATTTGTACCTTCTGAAAAGCTCCTACATTCAGAATGAAGTTGGTCTCTCACTGCACCTCCCCTTCTTTTCATTTCCACGTTGCCGAGATGCAGCAGATTTGGTCATTCCCGAAACAGTGACTGATTGTCTGCTTTGGCTGGTTCAGCTGTTTGCTAAACATAATGCTCTTTCATCTTCGAGGAAATCGTCTGGACACCTCCACCAGGGTGAAGCTTGCTTTATGCTGCTCTTTCAATAGGCAAATAAAAGCGGCTATTTTCCCAGTTTAAACATAACCTGATTTCTCTAATGAATTAGAAATACTTGAGAGGAGGGGAAAGATTGGTTTCTGCTGAATTTTTAAGAACAATAATCCTAAATTAACAAGCCAACTAGCTCTTTTCCTGTCTGGGGAAGGGTTGCCCTCCTCCCCTAATATTTCCATTCCCTTAAAAATACCCGCAGCACTCACACTTCATCATTCTTGTCGGGACCTAAAGGGCACCCACCAGGGCCCTCTCATACCTAGTGCATGATGTATGGCTTTTTTCATCACACCCTGGTAAATTGGGGCATTTTGGCTGAGGTTTCAGACTTTTTCTCCACTGGTAGTAAAGTAAAACTACTACAAAAAGAAATCCTATTGTAGAGTTTCACAAGAGGAGATGATCACCTGTCTGCTCTCATGTCCTCAGGGTTTGGGGGGCTCTAGAAGCCAGCTCAGTTTTCTCTGTTTCCAGAGATGACAGGAAGGAAAGCGTAGGATTCTGGCTGCACTTCAGCCCGCTGAGGCTTAGGAAAAAGACACAGCTCAGGACTGACTCCAGTCCAACACCCGGCTGGCTGGTGAGCAGCGTTTGAGAGCAGCGATCTCCTATTCCTGAGAAACTGATGCAAAAATAACCTACCAAAACCACTGTTGCAAATGATGCAACTGAACTTTGTTTTCTTGTTGTGGTAACCAAAGCTTTGACCAAAAGAAAAAAGGACCAAGGCAAAATACACCCCAACTTCTTCCTCTAGAGAATGAGTCAAGTTCCTTGCATGCGGTTCCAGTACAATGAAATCGAGAAGTCTGGCCAGCAAGTGGGTTCAACGGGAAAGCTGAGGACAAGCTTTTGTGTGACTGCTAATAGGTCCCTCTCCCGTGGCCCTGCCGGATGGGAGAAAACAAACATCCCTTTTTTTGTCTTGCAGTTCATGACGAAGAACCCCAGCATGAGGCTGGGCAGCCCAGGGCTGGGCGGCGAGAGCGCGATTCTGCGGCACCCCTACTTCAAAGATCTGGACTGGGCCCTGCGGAACCAGCGTCAGATGGAGCCGCCCTTCAGGCCCCGCATTGTACGTAGGAAGGAGGGTGGGGGAAAGGCATCTGAGTGGTGTTTATTCTCTCTTCTGGGCTCTTGAAGCAGGTTTATTCCCGTGAGACAGGAAAGGAGGTAAAGGAGAGGCAACCTTGACTTGAAAGCCCTGGCCCAGGAGCCGGGAGGTGAGGTCTTCTAGCCTTGTCTTGGCTGCTGGTTGGGCACCTGATGTTGTACAGGTTGCTTTTCCCCTCCATGCTGAGTTTTCAAAGGGAGCTCAGCCAAAGGATGCATGTTTGTGAAAGCAACTGCAGCAGATTAGGCACCTGACTACTATTTGCCTTGCCCCAGATACAAAACAGGGTAAGTAGTCCTCATTCTGGCCATTCCACCTACCTCTTCACAGTGGGGCTGTGTCTCTTTTGTCTCTCTTTGTCTGTACAGCACTCAGCACAGTGTTCCCTACCCAGACCACTGTCATCTGAGTGGATCGAATAGCAGGCAGGCTGCAGAGGGGCCACTGTTGTCCCTTTTCCCAGTGGTGCAACACAGGCCAGAGGATGCTTTCTGTGGAAGGCCATCCCAAGGTTGTCTCTGTGGCTTCCTTGCCTTTGAAATTGTCACTTGGAGTGACTTTGTCTCATGCTGTGGTCACTTTGTGGTGGCAGTGGTCAATGTTGTCCTGCTCCATGAAGCTCACTGGTTGCAGGATCAGGCACTCAGGGGAGCTATGACAGCTCAAGATCGGGCTCTTGAGTTGTTTCTTGACCTGAATCAAAGGCTGAGGGAACCTCCTCAGTCTCCTGTGAGCAGGACGGGATCTGGGAGCATCCGATTTCAGTGTCAATAAAACATCTTGTTCTTGGTGCAGTTAGAACACACGCCCTGCCAAAACATGCCACAAACCCCGTTTGTGTGTGCACACAGTGAACAGCCCCACTTGGTGGTGCACAGCAAGGAATTCAGCACCTGGAGGCAAAGCCATGTGTCTTCCACGACCCAGGGGCTCGTTACTGTGCCAGCCTGCTGGCTGGGCAGGCGGGGAGCGGGCGGCCCCCCCCCCGAGCCCACTGAGGCGCTCTGCAGAGAAGGAGACACGCCGTGGAGTCAGCTCGCTGGAAATGTGGCCGAGAACCACGGCCAGTGACTGGTTCTGTGCTGCCCCTTCGGGAGAGGAGCTGACTGGTGTGCCCTGCCCTAGCCCGGGCAGGCAGCTCCTCAGAGGCAGTGTAAGTTAAATCAGAGGGGGGGTTGCCTGCCAGAAGCCTGCAGAAGCTCTGAAGGGCTTTTGCTGTAAGGAGCTCAGTTGGGGGCACTCAGCTGCTCCTGGTCCAACACCAGGAAAAGCTTTCAGTAAGCTCAGCCTGGGTTATTGCACTGAAGACCAGACTAAAGGTGCAGAGCCAGGACCAAGCAGGTGGTACATACTTTTCACATCTCTTTCCTTTGTCTTTTCCACTTGACAGAAATCCAAAGATGACGTGAGCAACTTTGATCCAGATTTTATAAAAGAGGAGCCCATTCTGACTCCCATTGAAGAAGGAATTCTTCCAATGATAAACCAAGATGAATTTAGAAACTTTTCATTCACAAGCCCAGAACTGCAGCAATAGCTACAGCTCTGGAGAAGGGCTGCTGAGAAATCTAGGGGGAAATGAAATTAAAACCAAGTTTACCAGAAATGTCATTTTCAAGGAGGAACAGTGCACTGACTTTATGCAATACAGCAGCACCACTGTCAACATTACCTTAATGTGAAATTGAAACCTTCCTGTGTTTGTAGGATTTATGCAGCTCTTGGATCAAATACTGACAGAGGTGGAACAAACCTGATATTGTAAATAGCTGATGCAGACAGAGAATTGAATGCTGAGCTAGTTGGCTCGGCCTGAATATTGCCGCTTGCAGTGGATTCGAGGAGTCGGCATGAGCATGAAGCAAGTGTTGTGCAGCTCTGAGCCAAACAGACTTGTTACAATTCTGATTGCTTGCAAGACTATCTTGAGGAGTCCCAACACTGTCCAGCATTTTGGAGCTGTGATCCAGCATCCCGTGGCTTGACTGAACTAGATGTTCCTACTGACTTTACCTGTTTCTGCAGTATTTATTTCTTTCCGAAGGACGAATGACTCTCTCTGCCACTGTTTGGGTTTTCATGTGAAATATTTCATTGTGCTGACTGGCAGAAGGAAAAAAAACCAAAAGCCCTGTGCCCCACACAGATTCTTCCAAATCAAAAGGAAGTCACGTGCTCGTAGTGTTTTACTGTTTGTGTGATATGAAAAGTTTTAGTGTTTGCATTCTGTGAAATGCCTTTTTACATCATACATCTTCAATGCTCCTTTCTTTACTTCCCAGCTGTTCTCAACTATAATGTAACTTGTAAAACCTTACTGTTTATTTAGACCCATTCTATTTAATTGTGCTATACAGAGCCCCTTTTGTGGGTTTAGTGCCTCATTAAAATTTTGTTCCGAAGTGGCAGCGCTTGAATTGTTTGTGGCATTATTGTGATGGGAATCGCAGAGTTGGCAAACTGCTTGAAAAAAGAATTCTTGGCCAACAGGTAACACAAAAGGGGAACTTTCTCCCATGAGAATGATAAACCTTATCTAAGAAACAGGGTGACTTGGTTTGGTTTGGATTTAAGGACTTATTACTCACAGGGCACTCCTTATCAGCTGCAGCCTTGAGCCTCTGCTACAGGCAGACCGAGACAATTTTTCAGTGCTGTTTGTAGACACTACACACTTTAGAAGGTGGTTCTGTGCTGTCCCTGCTCTTCTGGACGCTGGATGATTTTTCTGCAGCTCCTTGGCACACCTTTTGCACTCCTTGCTAATTTTGAAGGTGTATGTCAGGATTATAGCCTCGTCCCTGGGCAAGTAGAAATTACTGGAGAAGAAGGATTTCTAGTCTCTTGCAAAACTCGTGTTTGTATAGTGCTAGTCACAGGCTTTGAGAGAAGGGTGAGGTGCAGAAGGATGGACACTTCCCAACAGACCTTGCACTGCTGCAACTGTTAAGGTGACATCAGGGAGCATGAGCCTTTGTCAAGGAAATTATACAGGCACAACCCCCACTACAGCACAGACCCACCAGTGTCTACATGCTCACCTTACAGAATCATAGAATGTTTGGGGTTGGAAGGGACCTCTGAATGTCATTTAATCCAACCCCTTGGACTCTTCTTGCTTTTGTGCTAGTGTGTTATACCAGTTGTCCCTCTTTTTTTCCTGCATCTCCTTTTTTCAGGTAAGCACAACTTCATCCTCTGGTCTTCCTTCCCTCCCTTCCATGGGCATCTTCTGGCCACAACACAGCCAGCCAGCCTCTTGTCTCTTTGCTAGTCTATAGATATCCAGCCCCTTCAAAGTGGGGCAACAGAGAAAACAGGTTGTATAGTGTACGTGGGGGAAGGAAGAGCTGATACCCAGAAAATTGATTCAAGAACCAGTCGTTCAGGCTGGCTTGAAATGCTTTCCCATATGGGAAGAAATGGTACAGGGATGGATGTGTTTGTATGTGGGGGCCACTGCAGCATCTTATTCATGTGTGAATGAAGTATAGTGTTCACCTGTCTGGTGCAGACATGACCCTAGGCAGCTCCTCACTCGTTTCCACTGTTACAACTCCAGTCGTGGTTGCTTGGCAAGTGCTAAGTGCAGCTGGCCACTGAGAGTGGGAGCACCAAAACTGAATTTTGCATTGACAGCTTTTTGACTCTCCTTCTGTTGAGGATTGTGAACAACTTCTCCTTCCCTGAAGATCAGCGCAGAACAGTAAGTGATAACTTTGTTTGCCAGCATGTTCGTATCACCCCAGGTTTTCACTGGTTGTGTTATTCCTTGGGGCTTTGCAGA